GGGAGCTTTAGGGAGTGAAATGAAGAGTAAAGCCCTGGTCCTATGAATTTTGGAGAACTTTGGTGGGGCTTGAGTGAATCAATAACTCAAAAGAAAGCGAAAAATAGACAATACGTGAATCTGGGTTAGAGTGTGCTTCTCGTACAATAGACACAGCAGAATATGGATACATTGTGATCACAGCTCATGAGCAAATGGGCAGAGAGATGGAAACAGCAATTCCTTAAGGGAGCAACAGTGAAAAACTAAGGAGCTGGGATTATGAAAAGCAGCCAAACACACGTGCATGGAGCAGGTGATGGTGCACAAACTTGCACATGTGCACCAGGACAAGGGTGCTGTGAGGGGCGCTGGTCACAGGGGAGCATCTCCAGGTGACGTTGGACCTGTGAATGTGTCTGAGCCACTGCTTGTGCCTGTACAAGTGAAAATCACGGAGCTGCTAGCACAGAGCAAGAGTCTTATACACAGAGCATCACGGATGGAGAATTATGAGATTCAGCAGGATGTGCAACATCCAGCAGAAGGCAGTGGAGATGCTCATGTGCCTGGGAGGTTTTGTTTTAAACTCTGCCCACTTGAAGTTTCTTGGGCTGAAGGTGATGGCCTTAAAGACACTCAGGAGGCCAATGCTGCCCATCGACACACTGTGGACATAGAAAACAAATTTGTATAAAATTTAACTAAGTCTTCCGTCCCAGAGCTGCCATGGTATCTGGGATCCTCTGTAGAGAGTGACCAAGGAGGTGGCCATAGGTATGGGCCTGAGAATAAAACCTGCGAATCTTGACCGTATCGACTGAGGGAAAGGTACAAATACAGAGTGAAGAGAGAAATTAACCAAGGTTACAATCACAATCAGAAAAAGGTATTCTAATATTTACATTTGTGCAGGTCATCTATCATTTTCTATGGTATGATATGATATGCATTTTAAGTAGTGGTCAAGTGAGACTTATATATATTTTTTTATAATTGAGTTTATTGGCACATTTTAGGGATACAGTACAGTTACATTCATTACTGGGATCTTGTACCTTTACATGACAGGTCTTGGTTCTCATTTTTTCCTCTTGTCCCTGAAGGGAGGACAGGGAGAGTTATATTGTTTGAATTGACAAATTAAAATGTCTCCTTTTGTTATTTTTTCTTAATCACATTTTCTTTTTTCTGATACTTTCCAAGTTTGGAGTTCTTTTCAAAGGTCCATACAATGTATGGGCCATGGTCACCAATGTGTTACATAATAATAACAAATCCAATACTCCCAACAGTATGATTCAGCCACTATTTTTCTTCTGTTATTTTACATGAGAAGGGAACCACAGAGATGTTAGTAACTTCTTTGTGGACATTGTGGATGAGGTAACCTTCTTGATTTCGAGATCAGTGGGTTTTTCTTGCAGGATGAAAATGCTACTGACGTTTGTATGTTTTGTTTCCTGTGATTTGTATCCTGCAGTTTTCCATACTGGCTAAAGTTCTGACTCTACCCCAGCGTGATCTCATCTTAATGCCTTACACTTGCAAGGATGTTGCCATCGCACGAGGCTAAAAATATGTTTTGGTGGAGACAGCAATACGTGGATTTTAGGAAAATAAAATTCAACGGTGTGGTATAATTTGTGAATGCAGTGCAATGACATTAGAAAGCAATTTCTAGAAAGAAGAAAATTTCAACTGCTTGGAATTTTAAAAATTCATGTTTAAATAATGTAAACCACAGCAAAACAAGTAGAATTCTGAAATGTTTTCATGAAGTTGATAGCAAATGCATTGATGAATCAAAAAAACATAGGATAGAGGGAAAAAAGATAATTCAGTGGTAGTCTTTACATAAATATATTGTACTACACTATAATCAGCGACTAAACCTCCTTTTAAAATATTTTTCTTTCCTTCAATCATTTTCTCCTGTCAGCTTCTCCACGGTTGTTTGGTTTATGTCCAATCCTCCTACACCTATGAATCCGTCTTTTTCACCACCTCACCTTCCAATGCTCCTTAATTTTTACTCTTCTTCTCCTAATAATTTTCTTGCGCCACTGCCCACTTTGAAGTCTTTGTTTATTCACCGTCACTGTGTCCTTGGATTTCCCCTGCCCCTTTATTCTCCCTATATTTCCTTTCCTATGATGAGTTGTTTTTCTTGCTCCACATTTTCCCGTCTACTTCCCGTTCTTCCTCCTCACTGGCTTCTCTGTCCTTTGACCCCTCTGCATCGATGACCTCCGCCGTTCTCCTCTCTCCTCTGCTACCCCACACACCTCCTCCGTCTCCCTGTCACTTCCTCTGCTGTCCCTCTTCTCTCGGTCTAGTCTCCGCACTATTTCTTTCCAGATTCCCTCTGCTTTTTTATATTCATTTCATCCCCTCACTCCAGATAGCTCTTCCTGATTCAGGTGCTGTCCATCTTAGCCTCCTCCGTTTCACCTAAAAATGTCTTTTATTTTAATGTTTTTTGCAATCCCCCCCAGTGTTTCTTCTCCCATTCTGACTTGACTCCTCTATGCCCTGCTCCAGTGTTCCTATCTTTCTGTTACTCTATACATTTATCCATTCACCTTCGTGCCGTCTTTTTTGTGAGCCTCTTTGTCTGCTTCCTGGATCTTATTCCGTTTTCCTCATTTCCCTCTGTGATGCTCCCTTCTCAAATTCCTCAATTTCAGGTTTCTTCCTCTCTGTCTTCATTCCAGTTTCACACCTCCTTCTCTTTATTTATGTCTCCCTTTCTGCCTCTTTATCTCCTAATTTGGTACAGAACTCCACCCCCTTCCTTCCTTTTCTGTGGGCAGTCTTTCTGCTGCACTTTCTCTATCTCTTTGGTCTTCTACCTGGCTTTTTTTTTTTTTTTTTTTTTGTACCAGGGATTGAACTCAGGTCTTTGCGCTTACAAGGCAGGCCACCGAACAGCTGAGCTAAATCCCCAGTCCTCTACCTGGCTTTTTAACACGTCCCGTTTCTACATTTACCCTTAATGTAGTTCTCTAAAGACACACAATCTCCTAAATGATTTAATATAAAGGATTTTAATTTTAAAAAAGGTTTTTAGAAGTTCAGCTAAGGCTATAATTTAAAAGATTAGGAGTGTTTTTACTCAATCTCTTTCACGATCAGTTTGTCTTCAAAGAAAATGATCTGTGATTCCCTTAAGCAGTACAGGATCCACATGTCCAGAGTGCAGTGAAAAAGCTCAATTTCACACACATACATTCTCATAGGGACAAATGCACACTGACATTGAGGAAAATGCACGCACACACACACACACACATATGAACACGTATTCACACATATAGTTATAGTCACACCCAGACAAAATACAAAAAATTCACTCTAGAAGTATCTTGGTAGTAGGCAAACAAAATCTGATGTTTACATTATACTAATACAATACAGTTTTAAAGTCCCTAAAGATTTATATAATGATTAATTATAATCAACATTTAATTGTAACAATCTGTACAAATACCGTAAAGTTGAATATCTTACTCAGTAGTCATAACATAAAAGTACATAAAAGTATATTTACAAAGCATGACAAAAAATTCCAATTTCTATCACAATTGTACAAAATTACAATAACATGAGACAAAATATCAGTGATTAGACAGAAACAGGAAACATTTTAAATCTATATGAATTATATATATAAATGTGATTTGACTCACTCATAAAACATTTTATAATAATATGTCTAATAGTGAAAACTATGGAGAATAATTATTTTTATCATGCTAAAGTGACATTAGGTGAAAGGAAAATAAAGCTACACCTCAGCAAGTTAACAAAAAACTAAAATAAAAATGAGATGATTTTAAAAATTTAAAAGTTGAAATATAGGCTGGGGATTTAGCTCAGTGGTTCGGCCACCTGCCTCACAAGGGCAAGGCTCCAAATTCAATCCCTGGTACCAAAAAATAATAAATAAATAAATAAAAGTTGAAATATAAAGTAAAGTAAAAGAGGGAGATAATCCTGAACACTGACACCAACCAGAGAAAGACGTCGCCTCTACGATTGACTTGTCTGTTTCTGGCACCTCCCATGTACCTGCCCCATCCCATTCTCCTTGGATCCTAAAGTCCTGTCCTGCTGTGCTCCTGACAACCTTGCTCTTCCTTCTTCTTGGCACATACTTGTAGCAAATACAGGAAATCTCTGGAAATACTTTCCTAGAGGCAAGAAGTCTCCTCAGCAGAACAGGGAGACAGCTGTTGTGACATTCAGGTCAGTGTGGGCAGCGCTGTCTCCAAGGCAGCAGATCAAAGACTGGGTGGGACAAGAGGAAGAAGCACAGATAGCAACAGGCACCCACGGAAACGCAGTGCAGCAGGCCTCAAGTCCACCAAATTAGAAGCAAGAATAGACTACAGGAAGCGAGCCAGGACCACCTTCTGGAATTGACTTCCAAAGTTTAAAATGAAAATGCAGCAAAATGATAACTCAAGCCTGTTCAGGTTACCAAAATCTGGTAATTGAAAGGGTTTTCATTGTTCATCCTAACATCAACTTGATCCACACCTAGGAATATTTTACGGAAGCCTCCGCTGAGGCTCCAAGACAGAGAATGTTCCAAAGGAGAGGGTCATAACCCCCTGGATGCTATGGTCACCAAAACAAGAAGGCTGTAGCCTTTCCGTTACTAATAAGACTGTAGGTAGTTTGTAGATGAGAGTATCTGAGACATGGGGAGGGAGGGATGGGCAGGGACTCCTTTTAGTCAAGTCAAGAACACAAGACTTAGTTAAGGCCATGGGGCCAGGGGTAAATCCCTGAGCAGTGGTTCTGCCGCCTGCCTCACAAGCACAAGGTCCTGAGTTTGATGGTACACACACACTGAAAAAAGAGTTAAGGCCATTTCTTCTGCATTTTGGGGGGATTTAGTGATGGTTGAGCTCATCAATGATCCCACACAGTGAAAACCAGGTAGTGCATGTGTTGTTTCTCTTGCAATTAGATGCCTCTGTTCCTTTCAGAGTAGACACAGCAGATTCCAGTTACATACTGGCCACAGTCATGAACACAAAGGGGCAGACAGTTGAGAAACACGCACTCGTGAAGTAAGTAAGAGAGAACAGTAAGATTATTGACCTACCAAAAAAAGTCACATATATTTGCATGACAGAAGATAGGAAGTAAAAAAATACAAAAATGCTCATCACGATAAGGATGGTGTGGGTGGCTCTGGTCTCAAAAGAGGATCTAGAGGATCCTCTGGTTCTATGCATGTGGCGGACCTGCTTCTTATGCATAAATAAGATGAAAAGCATAGAGCCACTGGCTAAGAGCATGACCGCCATGCACAGAACATCAACTATGGCAGTACACACTGCATGCCCTGTGTATACCCCTTTTGTGGTACGTGGATCAGAACAGTAAGCAAAGTCTATTTTATTTGTGATGTTTCTGGTTTTCAATCTGCTAGTCAAAGTCAGAGAGAAACTGGTATTCAGCGCCAAGTGCAGGACCCAGCAGAGAGCGGTGAAGGTGCTTATATACTTGGGAGCTTTCACTTTCAGCTTTGCCCACCTGAAGTAGCTGGGGCTGATGGTGATGGCCTGGAAGACACTCAGGAGACAGGTGCTGCCAAAGGCTACACCTCGGCCCACCCTGCTAGCATAGAAAACACATTTGCATCCAAAATCACTGAGGAAGTCTTCCAACCCATAAGCTGCCAAGGTCTCTGGGATCCCTCTAGAGAGAATGACCAAGATATTGGCCACAGTAAGATGCACAAGAATCAAATCTATGGGTCTTGTCTTATATCCACGGAAGTAAAGAAATAAATATTTACCTAAGAGAGAGAGATTCCCCAGGGTTCCAATGAAAATCTGACCAAGGAAGATTATTCCAACAGACACACTCACAGAGGGCATTCTGTCATTTACTGTGTTCAGTATTCAAATTCTTGAACAGAGGCTGCTGCATGATAACATGAATTGTGGATATTAGTTAACACAGAATAACATATGAAATTCTCCCTTTGACATGATTTTCTCTGCCCATTTTTTCCTCGAGTGTATTTTCCTTTCTTAGAATAGTCCCTAAGTGGGATGTGTTTTTTCTTCTACAGCATTTACAATACATAGATCACTGTTAATGGGCTATACAACTAGGTTAATGTCCACATCCATGAGACATAGGTACTACTGTGTGTCTTTCTTACAATCCAGGAGAATTTAATCAGGTAGTAATGATTTACATAAAAATCACTAAGAGTTTGGCTTTGATCCAAAGCTGCCTGGTTTCTGTGTCATTGTTCCGCTACAGTACCCCATCTCCTTTTTGTGTTTTTAAAAATAATACACATACATGCACCTCAGTCCGTGAATGCTTCTGTTTGCAAACAATTCGGTCCTCGAACGAACAAAAGCATTCAACGAGATTTTGTTTGCATTCACAAACTCCACATCAGATGACAAATACAGCTGTGGCCATCTTTCCCACACAAGAACAGACGGGGCCATCTTCCCAAAAAATTTAAAACAAATTAAGTCTGTGAATTACTGTACGGCTGCATCTCAGGACTTACAGCACATTCATTTAGCTTTATGCATTTGATTGAGTTGGATTTTTCCATTGGCAAATGCTATTATATAGAAAATATTATGGGAGTGAGGACTCTGATGACTTCATAAAATGTAGATATATCTGGCATTTCCTCAGCCGTGGTGTATATATTGAATAGGGGTGAATATTAGGAAAGCAATAAAAATATACATTTCATATTTTAAATACTGCCAGCCAGAAGAGTACAGCACTGGGGCTCATTCTCATCTATGGGATGTGAAATACAAAAAAGAAAAAACAAAACACTAGGTTAATGCTTTATTAGGGAAGATATGATTCTTTGTTCATTGCCTTAGGAGAAAAATCTACACATCATGTGATATTTAATAGATATTATAATGCAAAAGAGGTATAAAATGAAAATGCAAGCCATACCATCATCTGTATGATACAATTTAAAAGGGAAGAGACAGCACTAACCTTTAAGGAGTACTTTTTAACCAAACAAAACATTGCTAGCATGCCGAAGTAGCAAATGCTGTTTTTTATCTGCACTCTTTCACACTCAACTGTAAAGTGCTACTTTTGAAACATCTTTTTCTAACTGGAGGAATAGAAACTCTCCAATATCAACAGACTTCTAATACTTTCGTACAGAGATACAGTTCTTCATTCAGTACACACATTACACTCACACTGGAGAGAGAGAATTTTGTTTAAGTAACACGAGTCAAGTTTGCCAAACAGAAGATTCTGTTCACTCCACCCTATTCATCAACAGATGCACAGGAATTATAGAATATAAATCATGAAAATGTCTCCACCGTTACTTCATGGTACCTTTGAAGCAGATTAATTTCCACATTAACCTCCTGTCCGTCATGAAGTTCACGCCTGCTTGCGTCCAGCTGCAGCCGTCAGAGCAGCGAGGGTAACACTGGAGCACATCAGCAGTCACCAGGGTTCAGCACAGGGTCCTGGTCCCGTAGTCCCTGCCCACACTCTGCCCAGGACTCAGGAATTGCTCCTCCAGTCTCTGTGACTTTGGTGAAGAACAATCTGTCTTCACACGGGAGCACTTTCCCGGAATCTGTCTCTCCTGCTTCTGCAGCCGACTCTGTCACTCAGACGGTGAGAAAACCCACCTGTCCCTCTCCGTCAGCCGGGATGGCGACCTCAGTGTGACAGGCACATGGGCACGGTTGTGAGAGAGGAAGGGGCCAGACATAGAGATAAACATGGCCAATGAAGTGACCTCACCTCCCCGCAGGATCGATTCCCCTGCGGTGTCAATGACGCTGTTGCCTTTGTTGTGTATCTGAAAACTTTTCTCTGACTTCCTAATTCCCAGAAACATTAAAAAGTTCTTGTTTGTGCTGAGCATCTCAAAGAGCAGAGGAGTGTGTGTTGACGGCAATTGCTTTCCGTCTTCCCTGCTAGACGGAGGCAGCAGGGGAAGTGGAGGCCCGAGACTGTGGGACAGGCAGGAAAGCGCGTGGGTCCCCCTGGATCCTAAGCTCCTGTGGGAAGCTGCCGTCCCCACCTCCCGCGTCCTCTGCCTTACAGACTCCTATGCTACGCCGTCAACGGTGTTATGATCGGAGGTGTGGAGGGACCCTAGGCCAGGCCCAGGGCAGAGTGAAATGAAGAGTATCACGCCGCGGCTGACATCAAAATCCATTAGAGATTACTTGTGCAACTCCGCACGCAACAGTTCAAAAGTGTATTTGAGGTGAGTAAGCACTAAATTCACAAAGAACGCTGGAGACCCAGATTCTCGCAGGTATTTACCCCTTGATTGGAGACATTTTAAAGGGAGACTTTATAAAGGGTCATTATAAATTGGAGACATTATAAAGGGTCATTTGCCATGGAGAGAACAAGAGATAAATCCACACAATTTTCATAGATAAATAGATGACTGATAGATTGAGTACGGTTGCTCATATAGAATCTATCTAGATTATATACATTACATATGTTTACCAAAAATGTATACAAGAGAAAAAGAAAAACTGGTATAAATGTTTTAATGCTAAACGTATTGAGACATCATAAATACAAGTTTCCTTTGGCCTCTGCAGTTACAAGAGGTGCTTAAAGTGATGGCCATTCGGTTCCAGATATTTATTAGTACCATGAACCTAATAAAGCCTACTCAGAACACAAATTCTAGCATGATTTTACCAGCGGCATCCCTTGAAAAGGAGCCTACTATATCTTTCGGAGTAGAACCCATACTCTACACACAGTAAGACTCTTCAAATTTGCAACAAATCACAATTCTTTAATAGAAGAGAGGCTGCAAATGGTAAATTGTAAAGTAGTAATAAAAGTAAATATAACAAAAAGTTGAAATGGCACTATCAGGAAGAATTAACAATAATTATACACAGATGAACAGGACTAAAGAAAGAATAAAATTCTATTATTTCATAGGAAGAGAAAAGATTTTTTGTTCTGAGAAGTTTAGTTTCCATTTTTATTAAAAAAAACTAGATGTATATTAAAAATCCTGACAAGTGAAATGTCTCACAATGTTCTTTCTACAGAATATGAGCCTGAAAAAAACATCTGTGAGAACACCTGTGTGTTACTACAGGAATGGACTGAGAACCTACTGAATCCAAATTCAAAATATAGGAGACAAAGGATATGATAATGACATAAAGAGCAGTAATGAAAATATATTATTTAGGGTCCTTACAATCCATAAAATAAATTTGTTTTAAAGTAGGAGATAATCTATATGTGCAATTTAAATATAAATGTACATATATCATACAGATGAAATAGATATTAACCATAAATTAGTTTATAAAATAAAAGTGAATTACAGCTAATAATCTAACAAAGGACTTCAAAAGGAATGATAAAAATACTTTAAAGTGGTATCAGAAAAAACATATTACCACTAAAGTATTATATTAGAAAAGAGGGAAAATGTTAAGCAAATTCTCTGTGATCTTTACTAAAGAAACAAGAAAAGAACAAATTAATACAAAAACAAGCAGAAGGAATAAAATAATAAAAGTAAGAAGAGAAATCAATAAAACTCAAATAATAAAAATATATAAACCTTAAGCAAACCAAAAGCTCTTTGCTTACTTATTCACTCATTTTACATCCAGGAACACTGGAGTTTTATTTCTAGGGCATTTGCAAAAGGTGACACAAAGCTGCTAATACTGTTACAAAAGGAAAATATAAACATAGTGATTAAAACAATAACTCAATAATGTATTAAAAATTCTTGCAGCTCAAAATGTTCATTATGAATTTTATTGAAATCAGTTATAATTTACAATGGATAGTAAATATTTTCTCATATATATATATATATATATATATATATATGTAGAGATGATTGTATAGTATCCTGGTGAAGTATGAATATATATTGTGATTATTAAATCAACCAAACATATTCATTATCTCACATAGTTAATATTTTATGATAGTTCTCATAACCACTAATTACCAATTTCCAGTATAAGTGACATTATTGTTAACTATACTCATATACTCATATACTGTACACTAGACAGTTGCACTATTCATCCGCCATAACTTCATGTTCATAAACTTTGACCAATAGCTCCTTTACTGATCACATCATCGCCCTTAATAAATATGGTTGTACTCTCTGCTTTTATGTTTTGAATATCTTAAGTTTACGATATAAGTGAGATCAAACAATATTTGTCTTTCTCATTTTGGTCTATGTCACTTGGGATTTTGACTGCAAGATTCATCAGGTTTCACATGTAGGAAGATTCCCTTCTAAGTCCAAATAATATTCATATATACACATACAAATACATATATCACGCTATCATCGTTCACTCTTCCATTGATGGACACAGGTTTTTCCTGTATGGTGCTGAGTATTATGAATAATGGTTTAGTGAAGTGATCAAGATAAAATCAATTTCTTTATATCTATACCCAGAATCTCACATGTCAAGTAATAGGGCAGTTCCATTTTCAATTTATGAGACTTCTATATTGAAGTTTTATATTTTCTTAATGGACATCCTACTTTATATTCCCATTGTTTGTATACAAGGGTTTCCGCATCTCAATGTGTGGACAAAAGAAACTAAAAGTTGTTATTCTATGGCTTCTATTTGACCACAGATAGAAACTATCTATTTCTAGTATTGTTGCAGAAGGAGTTGGTAAGTGACACACACACAGAGAGATGCAAAATGGAAGTAAAATTTTAAAAGTTTATTTTCTCAACAAAAGGCCAATCACACTCAAAAGCAGCACCAGCAATCGACCCCGTACTGGGTTATAGCCTCCCCTTTATAAAGTTTATTTTCTCAACAAAAGGCCAATCACACTCAAAAGCAGCACCAGCAATCGACCCCGTACTGGGTTATAGCCTCCCCTTTATAGTGTTTTACAGCTGTGATCTCATTCAGGTGGTTATATTTCATTCTCCAAGTTCACATTACCAGTATAAAAAAATCACTGTCACAAGACAGTTAACTTTAACTCAGACGTAGCAATTCTTTGTAGTTATGGAGTTTACCTTTAAGATTAATCTAGTTGTCTATCATAGCCCATAGGAAGGGGGTGTTCCCTGTCTGGAAAGCAAAGTTAACAATGTCTCTTTTCATCTGGACATTTTTTACAATCCTGTTGTTTACAGAACTTTGGAACTCGGTGTCTTGATGTGCCCCATTATCTCAGGATGAGACCAGATGGCTCATTCAGTGGTTAATGCCTCTGGTGTCTGTTAATTCTGAACTAAACAAAGCAAACTGCTGTCAGAGACAGCAGAAGCCATTCTACATTGTGACATTTTGTAGGTTTGAGCTGTCTTTGAGAGTTTTCCCTATTATTATGAGTAAGTGTCAACATACAAAGTTTGGGAGATGTTGACCTAAACGTGAGAATCTTCCACTTTACTCAATAAAAACTGTAATATCTGGCAAATGTGGACTTCCAGGCCTACTGTGAGCTGTGCCCACTCCAGATGTGCTCTGGTTCCCACAGTATGCAGGCCACTTGACCACCTGTCCTCCAGGGCCCTTCAATCTGGCACTGGGGATGTCTCCGTGCAAACAGAATATCCCACGTTGGCACAGACATCAAGTAATTCAACTGTAGAATGCAGGCAAGACTTCTATATTGAAGTTTTATATTTCCATAATGGCCATCCTGCATTATATTCCCGTCGTTTGTATACAAGGGTTTTTGTAAAATAGCTTGTGATGGGTTAAAACTGATCTAGTCTTAATCTCAGAACCCTTTTTATCTGCCTTGCCTGGTTCCATTTATTAAAGAGGATATCTTTCCTCCAGTGTACATTTTTGCACTCTACTTTGGCAAGAATCAGATGGCTGTGGTTGTGGGGGTCTATTTATCGACTCTGTTCCATCGCTCTACACGCCTGCCCTGATATTACTGTACTTTTTTGCCTCAATGGCTCTGTAGTGCATATTGAAATTGGGTTTTGTGATACCTTGAGCTTCACTCTTTTTCATCAAGAGTACTTTGGCTACTCTGGTTATTTTGTGTCCTATAGAATTTTAGAATGTTTTTCTATCCTTTTAAGAATGTCATTCATATGTTGATGGAGATTGCATTGAATCTGTAGCTCTGCTGTTGGCATAGCAATGTTATTCCTGCTGATCCATGAACAAGAGAGGTCCTTCCATCTTCTAGCATCTTCTTTAATTGCTTTATTAAAAGTTTAGTAATTGTTGTTGCAGGGTCATGTTGCCTTTTTGGTGAGGTTGACTCTAAATATTTCAGTTTGTCTGAAATATTGGTATTGTTTTCCTGATCTCTTTGCCAGTGGATGTTTTTACTTGAGTATAGAAAAATTATGATTTTTTTTTATGTTAAGTTGTAGCACAAATCAGCCTTTCTGAAACCGCTGGTTGAGACCTGAATTGCTTCAATTCCTCCTTGTCTTCGTAGCTCAAGCTCTCATACAGGAGTGCACATTTTTGTTATTTATCTAATCCTTGAGTGGAATATTTAGAGAGATGGGAGGAAAAAATACATAAAATTGTGTGCGTATGAAAAAATATTTCAAGTCATAATTTCTTTTTCTAATGACAAAAACCAAATGTACTCATCACTGAAAATTCAGCATTAGAGGGCAGGGGATTTACCTCAGAGGTTCCGCCTGCCCACTTGCCTCACAAGCTCAAGGACCCGAGTTCAATCCCTGGTACCAAAAACAAAACAAAACAAAAATTCAGCATTAGAGATTTATGTAGAGAATTCTGGTGACCATTGGAAGCTCTTAAGTAAATTAAACAGGTTTATTTCCCTGATAGAAAAAAATATAAGAATCTGCCCGTCAAACTACCTTGTCCTGATGTTTCCCTGTGTAAGGGATTTTTTAAAAAAAATTTTTCTCCTTTTTCATGGGCACTGTTCCTGTCTCTCTCAGGTCACTAACAAATGTTGATGTTGGGAAAGTAAATTCCCTAAAAAATTTTCGATATTAATTGTCATTAATTGATGGACTTATTGGTGTAGCTGAGTAATATTCAAAGACGTTAGAATCATGTTTTTCTTTTTACTTGTGCCTCTTAAAATCCTTCCCAGATATTGTGTTTCCTTCCACTGCTCTGCTAATGACATAAATCTTGGGACCATGTAGTGAGATAAAGAATTAGATGTAATTAGATTTGGGTAAAAAAATAAATTACTGAGGAAAGCAAGGAACACAGTGAGACATCCATATCTCCCTGCCAATCACGCAGGACTCAGCATTTCTTGCCCTCACCCTCATGAGGGACCTGTCTGTCTGCAGGGATCAGGGGTAAGCAAGTGCCTCTCCAAACACTCTCGTATTCCCCTAAGAGACTCTAGAAAGAAACTCAGAAATGTGTTGACACCGTCACCTGGGAAAAAAGCTCCCAGAACTGATCTCCGCTCCCCAAGCCTGGACGCCCACTGCTCCTACAGATGAAGCCATAATTACAGGTCCGAGGGGAGGGGAAGACACAGAGCACAGGCCCATATTTCAGGAACACTCACCTCCCTGCAGCACTAATCTTCTGCAAGGCATGAGATCCCCAACCTGGTAAGGAGCCTGGTGAATATTTCCAGTTGTTCTCTGGGAGGCTGAGTTCATCAGGAGAAACTCATGTGGAGAGTCTTGCTAAGTGATCCAGTGTCAGGTGTTCTGTACTGAGCCTGACTGAATGTCAGAGCCACACAGGAAGCACAAACTTTCCTGAGCACTGGGCTCAGGAAGTAAAAAGAAATGAGGTTTCTGTACCCTGTGCCAATCCCTGATGGCCTCTAAGTTAATGTGACCTTCACTGGCAGTGATTCTGTGGCATCATCTAGGTAACAGCTCAGGTAGCCTGATATTTACCATGCTTGCTGAAGTTGTTCTAATGAATTCAAAATTTCAATTATAAGGGGAAAAATCTGGCAATCTAATATATAGAAGAGGGACTGTGTCAATAATGCTGTTATTTACCTGAAATGTTTTGATAGGATGAGTTCCAAACGTCCTTCACACTCATACACACACACACCCTAAAATGCTAACTCCCTGTGGTGAAGGGTGTGTTATGAATTTGTGATAATAGGAAACAGTGTATCCATATATTACATCCTTGCATTGTATGACTTTGATGTGCATAGGCCATTTAAGCGTTGGAAATATGTCCTTAAAAATGAAACAGGGGACTAAAGCAAATGTGTGTGTCGTCCTTTAAACAGAACAAATTTTAAAATTGCTGTTCAGCCTAAGAAATCATAAACCTTTCAGGATTGCAGCACTGAGGACTATGATTCCTCCAGGGTAAAGAGCACTCTACAAAGAGTAAAAGGGATTCACAAGACCAATCAAATTCTGCAGAGGAAGGGAATCAAGCACCTGCACAAACAACGGTTTTTCTCGATGGGTGTAACATGCAATTAATGGAGACAGGAACCATCTCTTCTAAAAGTATTTAGTCTGAGCGTATCCTCTGGGTATTTTCTCTCTTAAAGTTAGGGCAGCAGCATTTAAGAAAAAGTTAGCATAATCATTGCTGCTTGCTGGCAGCTGCAGGCAGGAATATATAATCTCATTTTTACGTATTCGAAAGCATTTTCATGAACTGCAACCATTAAGCCACCCTACTGTGGGAATTTACTGGGGGTGCATGTAGACAAAATCTCTGTAATGTCCTTCACAATTAGCCATAACCCTAGCACTATTCTCAACAAGAAGGCGAATTAAAGTGCATATTATACTGCAACACCCCCAAAACAAACCCAAACCCACTCCTTTCACTTTTAAGTAAGTTTTCAATTCTCGCGTCGCCATTTTGCCTGTGTGTGTCCCGGTTCAGTGCCATTCACAGGTCCTGCTTCATTGTTGAGAGTTTCACTTAACTCAGGGGTTCACTAGCAAATAGGTGAATGGTCGGAAATTAATAATCAGTCTCTTGCTATTCTGCACCTCAGCATGCATTGCAGTTATTACCTAGTTCAGGACGTGACAGGGTCCTGAACGGTTCCTGTAACCGGGGTCATTGGACTTGGCTCGGAACCGAAGCCACGTGACTCACTCGGTAGCTCTCCTGCTGTCAGGTCTGCGTCACCACACACAGCTCACCGGGAGGCAGCTCCCTGCTGCCGTAACTTCCCTCGGGGCACCTGCATTTTTAGATGTCCAAATGCTCACACTAAACTGATGTTGGCCAATAGAGTAAATGCTTACAAAGAAATGGAAATGTAACCTCAGATAGGATGAAAGAAGATTAAGGGGATGTATAAAAACCAAAACCTATGGCTGGATTGCCTGAAGAACCCAGCAAAGAGCTTTTAGGGAAGTGAGGGGTTCTGTGTCATCAGCCAGGGCAAGGCCCTCCCTGCCGCTAATGGAGGTGTGAACTTAGAGGAGTACTTAACCTCCCCGTGCCTAAGATTTCCTCATCTTTGTAGTTAAAGTCTTAGTCATGCCTGATCCTAGATGGTGAAAAGGGAATTAGTCATTGTGGCTACCACATTCATAGCAGGAACTTATACATTATAAGTGCTCTTTAAATGTATAAACCAATTCTTGGGTCCTTCTAAAAGGGAAAACATTGAGTAAGTAGGCCTCGGTGGGAGGCGGTGGCAGGTGGAGACTTGCCTGGTCCACGCAGCCCATGCCTCATCTTGCCTTGCAGGGTCCTGGGCTCAGACAACAGGGAACGGGCAGGATGACGGCCAGTGAAGTGGTGATGGGAGTGATCTTCTTATCACAGATTGTGCTCGGAGTTCTGGGCAATTGCTCTCTTCTCTACCGTTACCTGTTCCTTCACTTCACTGGGTGCAGGTTAAGGTCCACGGACCTGATTCTTAAGCACTTGATTGTAGCCAACCTCGTAACTCTCCTGTGTAGAGGGGTACCTGAGACAATGGCAGCTTTCAGTTGGCAAGTTTGCCTCAGCCACGCTGGGTGCAAGCTACTGTTCTATCTTCACAGACTAAGCAGGGGTGCGTCCATGGGCAGCACCTGTCTCCTGAGTGTCTCCTGGGCCATCACCATCAGCCCCAGGGACTCCAGGCCGGCAGAGCTTAAAGTGAAAGCGGCCAAGTATGTTGGCTCCTCCCTGTGCCTGATCTGGGTCCTGTGTGGCCTTGTAAATGTTATTTTCCTTACACACATGACTGGAAAATGGAGCAAGAAAAACCACACAAGCCTAAAAGACTTTGGGTACTGTACCAGTGTTCGTCAGGACAAAACCACTGAGTCGTTATACACAGTGCTGCTGTCCGTCCCTGAGGTTTCCTGTCTGGGGCTCATGCTGTGGACCAGCAGCTCCATGGTTTCCGTCCTGTACAGGCACAGGCAGCAGATGAGACACATCCACAGGACGAATGTCACCCCCCGGTCTTCTCCTGAGTCCAGAGCCACCAAAACCATCCTTCTCCTGGTCAGCACCTACATCTGTTTTTACGCTCTCTCCTGCATCTTTCAGGTTTGGTTGTCTCTTACTTATAATCCTCACTGGCTCCTGCTGAACACATCTGCCATTGTTGCTGGGCTTTTCCCAGCTGTCAGCCCCTTCCTGCTCCTGAGCCGTGACTCCAGTGTGTCCAGGCTCTCTGTTGCCTTTATTAGGAATAGAAAAGCTCCTGCTCATGTGACGAATGGATAAATTGTAAGATTTTTTTACCATTATTACTCTCTCAATCATTCCATAGAATTACAAGCAGTGATACATTCATATTACATGAGAATAGAGGCTTATACAAATATGCTTATGTAATATTTATATGTGTATACATTTGTGTGTTTGCAGGCACGAACATATGTACATACATACTACTTGCATTATGTTTATTTTTGATGAAGCAATATTTCTGGAAATTTACCTATAGCAAACCTATATTTCATATTTACCTGTAATGCTAGTTACAACAAAGGTAAGCTGCTTTAACATATGATTTACATTTTATATATTCTTGTATTCTAGTTCATGAACTTGATAAAAACAAGATGCATAGTGTTCGTTTATTTACTGTTGTGCTTGTGTCTTAGCTCTGTCTGCTGTAGCAAAGATGCACAAGAATATAGTCAAACAACGTCCCGCTTTAGCAGCTGAAATTAATCTTATAAATTCCACACAGTAATGCGCACATTTGGGCAGTAATTGTCACTTATGTTGTCACTATAAGCCCTGCTGCATTTTCGTTGTTGATTCCTACTGTGTTAATTGACTTCCACAATACCACATTTCGTTGGGGGATTAGACACATGCCCCCTTGGTGTGTATTTGCAAGTCCTCTACCACACTCCTAGTCACTTTGTTATATATTTTAAAGCTGATCAAAATTTACAGTTCCTTAACATTTTACTAATCCCTTGACAATTATGATGTTGGATACTGAAATATTTTCTGTTAACCTACTGACAGCCAGATTACTCTACTGTGTCTTTCAAACATTTTTGTATTCAAACCAGACAGGTTGTGCTCCAAGAAATCCCACCAGCTGAGCACACCTCAGGGCTCAGACTCTCCGTAGAAAAGCAACACTGTCCGTCTCTAACATGGGTGAACCTGTCCCAAGGTGACTACGATTGTGACATTTAACAGCGTGGACTACTTTCACTTCCTTTGGAATTTACACAAATGAAATTAAGCATCACAAAATCTCTTGTATTTGATTTTTTTTCAATTCTATACATTTTAAGGTTTGTCTCCATTTCTCCATGTCGTGGATGATAGAATTTAACTGTGTTAGTAAAACAGATCAACTTAGCATTCCGGTGTTGATGGGAACGCATTATACTTTGCATATGATTTGAGTTTTCTCCTAAAACCAGGTAGCACATGCCTGTAAGACCAGCACTCAAGGGGACTGAGGCAGGAGAATTGCATTTTGGGGAAATGGAGGCCAGCATGGGCTACACAGTGAGTTCAAGGCCAGCCTTCAATACAGTGAGATTCTGTACAAGAAAAGAGAGAGGGAGAAACTTCACCCCAAAGCTTCATGTGTTGTAAGATTTGTCTCCAGGGGAATGAAATTTGGGCGGTGCAGACTTTCAGAGGTGTAGCCAAGCTCATATGATAGCTCATGCAATAATCAACCTAGGAAGGGATTAATGCTGATTTCCTGGAGTGTATAATTTTTAAATCAGCAGGTTGCTTAAAATAAAAACGAATTCCAATATGGCTGCTCCCAACTTCCTGTTTCCTTGTGTGATTCCTTCTGTGCCTGTTTTCATCACCATGATTCATCTGTGACGCCTTCATCAGGGCTAAGTAGATCCTGGCAACATATGCTCGAGTCTCTGGAATTGTGAGCTGAATAACTTTCTTTTCTTTACGATGCACCGAGCCCTCCATGTCTCGGTTCCGGGGACAAGAACAGATTCATACAACATGTGAGTGTGTTTTACCTGCAGTCTGATGCTAAGCACTAGCCTGTAGACACCTCCAATGTTTGGATCATACCAGTGTGAATTTCTGCTGGAATCAGAGTCCACAGCTTACACCTGCTCACCTTTAGTTATGTCGTCAGTTTCCCAACCTGCTTGTCTGAATTTCATCTCAAGGGATATTCTGATTTTCCTCAAAATACCATTTGACTTTTCCTCCTTTATGATTGCTTATTGTGTTCTATTAAAAATAATTTCAGGGGCCGGGCATTTAGCTCAGTGGTTCCACCACCTGCCTCGTAAGCCCAAGGTCCCAAGTTTGATCCCTGGTACTGAAAAAAAAAATTGTACTGTAAGACCTCTGAGATAGTGTCCTTCCTTTTGTTTTTAAGTACATCCAAGTTATACTTTTGAATTTGTCATTCACAATATTCTAGCAATCAATTTGTTTTGTATTGGAGGCAATATGAGCCTGTTTTTTAAAAGCTACTAATAAATTTCAATTTATTTTGCAGGCGTTGCATATGATTTTTTTTCTCTCGTTGGTCATTGCCCTACCGTGGTTAGCATGACTTCCCCGCGGAGTTGGCTGCTGTCAGCTCTCCTGCTCATCCTATCTCTCCTTTCCTCCTTCTTTTTATCAGACACACTGACCACGCAATGAAGACTCGTTGCAATGTTTAAACTCTGCACTGAGAGGAGGATCCAGAGAAGGTTGTGGAGGTGGCAGCCTGAGGAATCTGTCGGGAAACAGGTAGGAACTGCAGCGTGAGAAGCTGTCTACAGTGAGCACTGTGGTATCTGGAGCACACTGAAGGCCTGTAACTCCCGAGACTAAGCTGGGATCACACATGAGTGTAAGTGCCTGGCTCTTTCAGCCTTCAGCACTGTAGCACCTGCTGTCCCCACTTCATTGCACAGGGCCATGCACATGTGCACAAGAGCAGCCCACCTGTATCTTACACAAAGCAAGAGGGCTCCAGGGCTCTGTGATTTGATTCTTAGGACACGGTGTTCTGACTGCTCACTGTGCCTTCTAGATCTGGAGGTTCTGACACAGAGACTGGGAGACAGTTATGAGCCTCCTTGCACCATTAAAGCCACATCTCTAGGATTTAAAAGGCCAGTTTTCTCTTTTCCTTTTTTATTACTCCTCCTATTTTCTTCCTCTGCTTTTCCTGTCACATAGTCATTTAGGATCAACAATATTTAAAAGTTTTGCATATTTAGTGAAATTTAGAACATGGCTACTATTATGAACAAATCAAGAAAAAAACACCGTGAAGAGTTTAGAAGACCTTAGGTTGAAACATAAGATTGGCCGTGGGGTACAAAACATACACTACAAAACCCAAAGAGCAATCAAGCAAACAAAACCAGGCAATTTGGGGAGAAACAGGGTAAGGTGATTTCCATAATTATATTTTTATTATAATAATCATAAGTCCCATTTCCAATCAAGTACAGGAAATAAAAGAATTTAAAAGAGAAAGAAGGAAAGCAAACAACGGAAAGTCATACAAAGAAACAAGAAATTGTGGTTCATTCAGGAGTCAAAAAATAGCTCACAGTGGTTGGAGGAATCACCATTCACAGAGAACCAGAAGTACACACCCGTGGCCGGCTGAAAGCACATGGGCAAAGTGGGAGAGTTTCCAGCCACTGAAATACACTGCGAACCAGGTAGCAGGAAGGTGGCACAGGGAAAGTGAGAAGCTCCAGTAAGAACTGAGGCTGTGCGTAGCTCAGGTTCCATCCGATGGTAATCTGAAGACTGCAGTTCACAGCGTCCTGAGGTCCAGTGTTCTCTCCACACCACACGGCCCAGAACCTGTGATGAGGACAGCAAAGGGACATCTAGACAGTAAGGGTGGGGCCAAGGTCCAAAGAGCTGGATGCCCACGAAACGCAAAAATGTTTCAGGAGAAGAGCAGGGTGGAGCGGCACGACTGGACACTCACCCACTCACCATTGCCAACAATGCGGGGAGAGCTACAGAATTTCTACCTCTACCAGGAATTTTTACATCACAAAATATAGATGTCACAAAATATCACTCACACTTAGGAGAGCATTGAACACTCATGATTATTAGACCTTACCAAAGATCTCATTGGATGCACTAAAAGCAGGCTGTGTATCACTCTATCACACGTTGCCAAGAATAAAACTGGATCCATTAGAAATTTTGTTAAAGGAGAAAATTAATCTGAAAATAAAACCACGTGCAAGACATGTTCTAGTTCGGAGAATTTTATTCATAGTGAGAAAAATTAACCAATGTGATTTTACAGTAACTTTCAATAGTGTGATTACAGTTCTAATATATATCCCCTTATTGTTTAAATTTAATTTAAAATTTAGATATCAACTGTTTCCTTGTGGTATGGTAATACATGTTATTGCATGTTATAATACATGCTATAACATACATGTTATTTGCCATGTGCCATTCAATATTTAAGCATATTACATCCTTCATTTAAGTCTTGCAACTTCTCCAACCTCAGGAATACTGCTGTCCTCACATACAGGTAAACTGCGGCATTCTTATCACAGTGGAATCCAGTATTAAACCGGATTTGTTCGATAAGTTGAGTCATTCTTTTTCTTTCTATAGTCCGGAATCATGCACACATTTCATAGCCCTGAAATCTGTAAATATTTCACTAAATTCACCAGAAAACCAAACTGCCTGAAGAGTTTTCCTCGTGCCTACAATGCTATGAGAGCATGAAAGTTAAAACACTCCCACAGAGTAAAACTTTTGGTCTCTCAAAAACAACTGTCAAAACAGTGCGGAGCTCTGCAGTTTTGCGACAATACACTGATCTTTCTTAGTTTTTTGTTTCTTTGGTTTCCTTCCTGGGATAAAGCCCCAGGCCTTCATCCTGAGATCCACCTCCGGTCCACTCCCACTTTGCTTTGACACGGGCTGTCATTAAGGCCTACACAGCATAGGCCCCGCTCAAAGTTGGGGTGCTTCTGCCACACTGTCCCACAGAACTGGGATTGCAGGGCTGTGTCATCACTCCTGGCTTGGATGAGCCATTTTCCAAGCTTATTCAAGTTGTAGTCATTTCTCAAAACACATGAAGTTCACAGCTTTCTATTTATATTTTTTTAAATATTTACAGTGAGACTGGAGGAAGGAACTGTCTGGATCCTGGAATTCTACCAGTCCTTGTCCCATCTTGTGGGGTCAGGTCCCCCGGGTTTGACTGGACCTTGGCCAGAAGGTAGAGGCTGAAACACCACAGTCCGAGCAGGTATGAG